ATGTTGATCATCATAACATCCAGTTCATCGTCACCAGAAGACGCCCACGATACACTCATGATGTCGAGAAAAAAAAAAGAGAGAGGGATCGGAGTAAATAAACGAAATAAAAAAAAGGAATTCTTACCACAGAAAGTAATTCGTAGATCTGGGATGCTTTGAGTACAGTTGAGAGACGATTAATTCGCAAGGAAAACAAAGGAGTCGATTGCGAGAAGAAGGTGAAGTATTATTTCTGCCAAGTGTAAAGATATCGGAAGAACAGTTGCAAAACCGACACGCTTCGCTTGCTCAAGACTAAATGATTAGTAGAGAATCTTCAGCATCACTGCCCGTCTTTTCTAAGACAACCATTAATGCTAGGGGCCACCTTGTTGACATCATTTTCAGTAAACCGAATTAAGCGACGCTGATCACATGATTATGTTCAATAGGAGGGTGATTGAATCCGCAAAGTAGATGATGTCTTCACAGATTTCAGGATAATTATATATTGGGTAAGAATTCCTCAAGAACCGACATCGCCGTCAATTGACCGATATCTCATGTCGGTTATGACATGTCGGTTAATACATATCGGATGTGACATATCGGTTATAACTACACGAGCCGATATCTATGACTTGCTAGACCGACACCATGAGGCGGTGCCAACTCAGCACAACTCATCATTACACCTGGCCAAGTGGCACGTTACCAGGATGTATGGCAATCAGCCGCCGTTGACTATTCTCGTGTAATGATTACATATTAGATAAATGTTGTAAATAAATATAAAAGGAGAAAAGGTTCTCCAGCCAGAAAAGACAAGCATACCATAATATTAAAACAGAAATATTATCTCATTTCACTGTTCATATAGCCTTTGTTGCTTTATCTTAAATTTACTATAAATCCCTGTTGATTATATAGTTGTTAATTCTCGTTTAACAACACGACCATTTAACCAATCCGCAGTCCAAATTGACGATTTTTTTTTCGGTTAAAATCGGACCTGAACACCCCTACAAACTAATGAAGAGAATTATAAAAAAAAAAAAAGTCTCTCCCTTCTCCTTCCATCTATTTTTCCTCAATCCAAACAGCTCCTTTGTGTCATCTAATCTAAATCTTACATTATTAAAGTGTTGCTAAAGTACCCAAACGTTTGACAATTTTCCGGGGACACGCCTTGTCCGATGTGCTATCGGAGATTCAGAAGTGGCAAAAAAACCAATCCTTTTCTGCGTAAAGTTTTGGATTAATTTCATCCTGTCCGGTGCAAAAGTGCCTCTGTCCCTGTATATTTCAACTTTCAATTATCTCTTGAGTTATTTATTAATACGCATGCCAGCGGAAGATCAAGAATTCAGCAGATCAAGAAAGTAGTGGGCGTTCGAAGGCAGTCAGTCCACCTTAAATGGATGCTGCGCGGTTACGAAGTTTTATGGGTATCTTCAGGACTAAATTGAAGCAGACATCACTATTGTGGCTCGAGGGTTTCAGAGAGGCTTGCTGCCTTCATCGCGTCATAATCTATTGTCTCAGGTACATAATTATGCTGAGCGAATCACAATACAACGTTAATTTTAAGGTTGGTTGAGCAGAGGTTGACTGTTTTTCTCTGTGTGTGTGTGTTCAAAATAATCGATATAGTTTTTGTGATTTTGTGTGTTCAATGGTTATTTAAGGTCGAGAGAGCTTGCCATACGTACTGGGCAGTGTTTTCTTTTGAATGGCTTCATCTTTCTGGGAAGGTTAGTCCCTCAAATCTCTTAACACTGTACATTCGTGTGTCTTGACTTCTCTATGTATGCTTGTATGTGCTTTCGGAGCACGAGCTGAAGTGAAATTTATAGTAAAGTTTGTCTCTTTCTTGATATTGCTTGGCCTGGTTGAGTGAGCCACTTATCTTTGTCTTGTTGGTCTTGGACCATTTATTGTAGAAAAAATGATGATCCCAATTAGGTACAAGTTGCGCTTTATTCCACCTCTCATTAATTGCTAATCCCAGTTATCGTGGAATCCTAAAGATCTTGTTTTAATGTTTCCTTATAAGTCTGCTGCTTAGTCGTGAGCTGCGGGCATAATTTCTCCATTGTTTTTCTATCGTTCTACCTAAGTTGGATTTAAAGCATACGCTCATAGTTGGGCTGTCAATGTTTTCGGAAAAGCAATTAACTTATATGTTAGGAATGGTTTGGTTGCATGCAGTATACTTGTTCTTAGATCGTTTGTCATCCCAACACTGCAATGGGTGCTGCCTGATGAATGCCCGCTTATAAATTCTCAAGAGTCATGTCCATTTGGGGGTATTTTCAGATTCTATTCCTTCTTACGACTTGGACTGATTCAGCTCTTCTACGTGAGTGCTTGTTTTCCTTTGTGATGATTAATACATTTTTTGTGTTGAGGTTTGATTGACTGAAAAAATTGGATATAACAAAATGTTTCACCACTCTATTAGTATTCCATGTGGTTCTGGTTATTGTCTAAAAGTGCATGTCCGCAGGACTAAGATAGTTATGTCCAGAAAATGCATTTGAAATGTTCTGAATATTGAAGTTTTCTAATTGTTTCCATTAATTTAAAGTCCGTGTTTTGTCAATTGTGAAAGATTTATGGCGGTTTATGTGATTTTACTTATTGACTAGTTTGCATCATGTATAAGAGTTCTTACTGAACAGGAGTCCGAATTTGGTGCAACTGCTTGTAAGTTTCGCAATACCTGGTTTATGATATATGCTCCCAAGAAAACTAGGTCAATATACTTCTATCATGGAGGCAATTTGAATTATTACCTGATAATGTAAAGCATACTAACTAAAGTTGACCATATCCGAGTTATAGTAGTTCATAAAGCTTCCAATTAATATATAGAGAAATAGCAGCTTTTCACTAGTTTTCAGGTTCTTCTGTATATTCCTTTAGATCTAAAGAGTACCAATGAACTCTCTCTCTCTCTCTCTCTCTCTCTCTCTCTCTCTCTCTGTGTGTGTGTGTGTGTGTCCATCTCTCTCTTTCTCTGACATATACATACGCATGCACGCATTCACAGGTGTAAATGAGGATTATTTTCATTTTGCTTTTCAATGTATCAATCTGCAGGTATCTTGGTTCTACCCCATGTACATCTCCAGCTTTATTCTAAGCACCCTCTGGTATTTCTCGCCTTTCCCTTTCTGTTCTTCTCACTTAACTTCTTCATTTGCCTTGAAGCAGTTCCCACATTCACACTTGTAAGATTATGCTATATTTTATCTAAATATAGTCAGGATGGTTCATTCTAGCCATCTACACATGTGGGGCCCATGGGATCTAGAATTTTCAAACTTGAGCACATTGAAAGTTGAAACTGTTGAACCTTTCCTCACTAGTTATTCACTTGCATACAAACTCAACTTGCGGGACTCAAGAATTGGTATTACTAATTAATTAGTCAACAGCTTTTATCTAATGCTGGAACTCTACGGAAAATTAGGGTAGACAAAATAATATTGGTTAAGCCTAATCAGCATGACTTCATCAAATTTTTAATTTCTACACGTTTATAAAAAATTATACATCCTTGAGAGATGTTTGGGGATCACATAACATGTAAAATATCTAGTTCGTGTTCCATTGAAAGGCTTCTTAGATATAATTTATGCAGTCTCTGTTTTATCTTTGATTAGGTATAACGACATTGCAAAGTATGGTTTTTTCGCAATCGAGAAGCATGGCCCTTCTGGTTTAGAATCATCTGGCCAAAAGGATACTACTGCGAATGATAAGGCTACTGATATTGAGGGGTGTGTCCCAAAATTATCACTTCTGCTGTGTTTTTTTTTTCGGTACTCCCCCAAGGTTTTTGAATTTCCAAGCAAATTTCACCACTGCATTCTTTTCTATGTGCAGTGTAATGATTGGGATAGCAGAACAAGTGTATTCAGTTCTCCTTTTGAGTTTCTTCTTCCTGGAGGTAAAGGAAACCATATATTCTGACGTGTAGTTTGTATCAAGAACTGCTGATGCCGGCTTCATATGGATTGTAATTATTTTGTGATGTCTGAAGGTTTACATAACCGGGTTCATCCCCCACATTGGCAAGGCATTAAACTTTTTGCTCCTTTCCTGGATGTATGCTTATTATTGCTTTGAGTAAGCGCCGATTTACATAATTCATTTTTTTGTGAATTGTGCTTGATGCTCCGATGTCTGGGAAAATGATCTCTGCCCTCGTTCTCATCATTTATCAGGTACAAATGGAATTATTCAGGTTTGAGTTTGGACAAAAGATTGGATTTCTTCGAGTCAAACTGGCCATTTTTTGCGGGGTTTGGTAAGAATTTTATTAGAAGAGATGTCTTGATCTTTTACTATTTTGTAATGAATTTATTCAATTGAGTTGATAAAATGCTGCACCTTATGTCTTTAAGGAAGCCCATGTGTTCTGGCCGTGTTCTTTTACTCTCCCCTAGTCAGCTACGGGGTTATGGCTGTGCTGTATCCATTAGTAAGTGCTCTCTCTGTGCAGTGGATATTACTTTTATTTATTTATTTATTTATTTTCCCTTAGCCGACTTTTGGTGTGTTCTGTTAAGAGTTAAGTTATTTTGGATTCTTTTAATGCTGCCGGCTAGATGGTTTATGTAGTTTCTCTTTGTTTGGTCAAAATTTTAGCATTATTATTAATATATTTCTTTAGCTATTTAAAGTTCCACATTCTTCATAGATGCAATAAATATATGATATAACCTAATACCCGAGCAGGAAAGAATAATTTGTGAATCGAAATGTTTGGTGGTAATATGTGTTTGTAGTTTGTCCTGACTGCTACAGGCTCAGAAGCAGACAAAGTGATTGCTTCTCAAAGAAAGAAATGGAGAGGTGCTAGCTTGGGGAGGATTCCCATTTTCTTTACTGCCGATTATTTATCGTAAGTCTACTACAGCATATCTCTTTTTCATCATTTTTTTTTTTTTATAAATCCCGTGTTTGGGTTGGAGAGCATTATATTGTACAAGTTCACAACAGGCCAAAGGTTTTTTTCCTTACAATCTACATTTGAAGTTGTTTGGATTTTCTTGAAGTTGGCTTGTCAAAGTATCGTTGTACTTGATAGCTTTTCTGGAGTCGTAATATTAGTAACTCCAATATATGGATGAGTTGAATACGTTTACTGTGGTTTATGTAATTTTCTTTTTCAACTGTTTCAACTTTTACGTTTGACCTGGTGCTTAGGATGAAAGTGTTGTCTTTTTTCCCCAACAAACCTCACCAGCAAGTGCACGAAAAGAGATCCCTTTGATCATTGGGAATTAGGATGACTCATATTGCTATTCGTTCAGACGGTAATCATTTGAACACAACCAGCAACTTTTTTGTTCGTTTTTTTATGTCTATTTGTCTCACCAGGCTTTGTTCTCTGATATGAATGTCTCCCAGAATCTGCAGTTCTTCAAGATCGATAATCTGCAGGCTAGAATGGATTGTTGTAATGTGCTGTATATAACTACTCATCTCTTACGGACATGACGATAGGAGAGGCAAATTGGCGTAAATGTATAAAACGATTTGTTTCTCTTTGGCAAAACTCGTGCTTTCGTGATGAAAAATGATGATAGTCTGCAAGTGCATAAAATTGTATATTAGTGAAACTTGCATCTTTTTACCCAGTAATTATTAGAATTTTGTGAAACTTTCCTTCAATTATGTCCGTTTTGAAAGAATTCATCTAATTATGAAGAATCTGCAAATGCATAGAATTATATATTAGAGAAAATTGTGCATATAATTTTTTTCAAGTACTTATTGGGATTTTGCGAAAATATTTTTCAATTATGTGTGTTCTGAAATAAATCTTCTAAGAATGAAGAATAAGGCTATGTTTGGAAGACAAATAAGTTTTCTTATAGTTCATTTGGTTATCTTATAAGTTCACTGTATTCAAATAAGCCTCATTTGGTAGGACGAAATTTTTTAAAAAGCTCGAGCTTAGTTTAGGTAGCTTTTCAAATAAGTTAGTTGAATTTTTAAGTCCTGCTAGTTTATCAACTAATTTCACTAAACACTTTTATGATATAAGTTAACTTTTTCATCTATAAGTCATAAGTATAAGTTATAAGCAAAATTACTGATAAGCTATAAGTCAGCTTATCAGCTAGTTTTACTAAACAATAGGCTAAGACTTTAAATTACTTATAATAGAGGCTTAAAAAAATCAAGGATTCCACTTTTGCTTATTAAATTGGTAGATATGTTATTCTAGACTAAAGCTTACATTTTTAAATAAAACAAAAGTGGAATGAGATTGGTGCTTTTGACTATGATGTGATTTGTGATGACAAAAATTCTATGGAATTATGGAATGTTTTCTTATAAAGTCATCCATCATTTAATATGTCGACACATGTTCAAAGGTATTTATCGCAGGACTCGTGTCAACATATTATTTGTGAATAAGTGTGGATGACTCTATAAATCATGTCATCCGATAGCTTTATAGCAAAACTCTTTGTCATAGTGTGCATGAATCTTTTGGAAATGTAATTTTAATTTAATTTTTCGGTTTTATCATTTAACCATCTTTAAACTATGTTTGTGTTGAGGATTTGAAGTTCTAAGAAATTAATTTCCCAAAGTGATAATAGAATAACATTAAAATTGCAAATGAGTACATAGTTCAAATAGTATAATACGCTCACCCACATTAAATGTGGATTAACACACATCGATTTTTAATGAAAAAATTGCCTACTCAACCAACCCAAACACATTTTTATTGTAAATACACAACTCATATATACATAATAACAAAATTGGCAAAAATGACTTTTTTAATTGTATAAATACTAAGACAGACAATTTTT